CATCCTTCAATAAAAGCAACAACAAAAACAACAGAATCAACTTCTTCGGAATATTCTGGAAATTACCCAGAGACGTGCGGCAACCTGGGGAGTGTGTATTCAGGAAGAATGACAGAGTCTTGGGGAACAGCTCATGCGCGGGGTGGGGAGGGAGAGTGAGGACAAGAGAACGGGCTTCCACTAGGAACATCGCATGTTTTCATCGATGAATCAGACAAAGGCATTCTTCCTCCAAGAATTACTTGAAACTATTTGAGAACTACAAGAACTATTTGAAACAAAATCAGTAAAATAAAAAACATTGCCCTAACCCCATGGTCGGCAAATTGCGGCTCAGGAGCCACATGAGGCTCTTTGGCCCCTGGAGGGTGGCTCTTCCACAAAACACCACGGCCTGGGCGAGTCTATGTTGAAGGAGCATTAGAAAATTAAGTATAAAAAATGTGGCTCTCCAAAGAGATGTCAATCGTGGTCCTGTTGGTATTTGGCTCTGCTGACTGATGAGTTTGCCGACCACGGGCCTAATCGGTGTGGCTCAGTGGACAGAGTGTCAGCCTGCGGACTCAAGGGTCCCAGGATCCATTCCAGTCAAGGGCATGTACCTCGGTTGCGGGCACACCCCCAGTGGGGAGTGTGCAGGAGGCAGCTGATCTATGTTGCTCTCTCATCGATGTTTCTAGCTCTCTATCCCTCTCCCTTCCTCTCTGTAAAAAAATCAATGAAATACATTAAAAAGTAAACATTTTTAAGAGTGATGTCTACAGATAAAGGCTGTTCCCAGCTGAGTGCTCAGTGGGTTAGTGTCCTGAAGGGCCGAGGCTGTGGGTTCACTGCAGTCAGAGCTCACGCAGAATCGGCCGGCGAACGCAGAGACGAGGAACAAGTCGGCGCTTCTCTTCCTCTCTCCCCTCTTCCTCTCTCCCCCCTTCCTCTCCCCCTTCCTCTCTCCCCCCTTCCTCTCTCCCCCCCTTCCTCTCTCCCCCCTTCCTCTCTCTCCCCCTTCCTCTCTCTCTCCCTTCCTTTCACCCCCCTTCCTCTCTCTCTCTCCCTTCCTCTCTCCCCCCTTCCTCTCTCCCCCCTTCCTCTCTCTCCCTAAAACTAACAAACCAGTAAAACAGGTTTGAACAAAGGCTGGTGTCCCAGTCGGATCACACCTCTGGTCCAGTCCCTGACGTGCGGCCGGGCGTGCTGGGCCGCGGGACCGATCAGGAACTCCAGGTGGTGGGATTCTCCGCTCTCTCCGAGAAGAAAGGGAAGCGGGGGCTCTGATCAGACTTAACAGATGACAAGGGCCCGACCGGCCGGGGTGGCTCAGCGGGCGGAGCTGCTCCCTCTGCCGGCAGACGCGAGCCACACGGCTCTGCCCTCGGCCTCCTGCCAGCCGCCCAGCCTTCACACATCCACCCTGACACCCAGGCAAGGACTAAAAATAGACGGAGGCTCTAGGAGTGGGAGCACTCTCCCTGGAGGAAGACTAATTAGCGGGGAGCTAATGACCCACAGCAGGCGGGGGGGGGGGGGGGGGGGACTGGGCGTGTCAGCCACGCCATTAAATGACGGTCTGGCAGAACGCGGGCCAGCCGCCTTCATGGGGGCGGAGCAGGCCCCCAGCCACGGCAGCCACAGCCGCACAGGGCGGGCACGGCGGGCCAGCGAGGACTCTGGCGGCGGCACCAGCTGTTCTGTCTGCCCGCGTCTCCTCTCTGACGTGCCGACCTCCTGGGATGGACAGGAAGGACAGCCTTACCTGCGGCCGGACTGGTGCTCACCACTTGGTGTAAACCTGGCCGGCTGTGGTGTGAGTGCGGCCTGGTCAGGCTTCCGTCTGGTCCCCTCCGCCTCTCACGCCTCCGTCCAGGGCCCTGATCTACCGAGCAGCACCCACCCCGACAGGTGGCGGGCGGTGGGAGACTGGCAGTGGGTGATGGGTGCCCCTCCGGGGTGAGACGGGGTCACTGAGAGGGGAAAGGTCAGAGGGCCCGCCAGAAGGACCACAGCACCTGGTTCTCTAAATCAAGCCTGCTTTATTGGAAACGCCCGCCTGCCACAAATGTTCGTGAAAATACCAAGATGTAGCCTAACACACACCCAGGAGCGGGCGCAGCAGACGGACAGTGTCCCCGACAGGCATTTAGCACCTGGTCACACACGGTGGACCCACAGCCAGCCAGCCCCGGGGGGACTCGCCGGGCTCAGCTGTCTGGTCAGTCACGCTGATGGGCAGTGGTGGGAGGGCTGGCAGTGCCCGAGGCCTGCAGGGTGTCACATTGTGCGCCCACCTGCGCCTGCCCGCAGGGGGCACAGCAGGGGCCGTAGCTCTCGCTCAGGGCGGGCAGTGGGAGCCTTGCCAGGGTTGCACAGCGGCACCCTCCTTCCCCGGACCCACTCTCCAGGCCCTGGCCCGTGCTGTGCCCAAGTGTGGCGGGTCCACGGGGTCTGGGGGCTCTGCTCCGTCCCCAGGCCTGCACCAGAGGCTGAGGACACGTGGCCGGTCAGACCACAGCTGTCCTGTGTGAAGTGTCTTGGGTACTTGTTCATCACGCCCAGGGGACCGGATACTTCTGGTCAGAATCCTGATCCCAATGCAAAGGGGCCTGGTGGTCCTCGGGGGCCCCGGCCTCCCTCAGGCCCTCCCTGGCCAGGGGGCTCGGGCGAGGCCAGAAGTGTGGGTGCCACGTCCCACCCACAGCTCCCTCACCTCACGTTCTCAGGCTGAACCCGCTGGGTCCCTGCCACCGGCCGGCTCCCTGGCCCAGACTTGTCCCCTTCAGGTCTCAGCGCTCTCCTCACGGAGCGGCGGTGAGGCCAGGCCAAAGCAGTGGGAGGCTGCACCGGCCCAGCGCCCCGAGGGGCCATCAGGGCAGGGCCTCCGGGCCTGGACTCCAGGGCCAATCAGCGCCGATGCACGGGTTCAGACCCCGGCCCACTCCCCCGGCGCCTCCAGCCCAGCGCCTCCGACCTCGGGGAGGGCGCCGCGGACCCTCGGAGCCCGGAGCAGAGGGAGGGGGAGGAACCCGTGTGGAGGGGTGTCTGCAGCCGGCCTCCGGGGCTGACGGGCGGAGAGGAGACAGCTGTGAGCAGGAGTCTGCGCCCCGCGGAGCGCCCGTAGGCTGTGGCCAGAGGCGGCCTGGGGAGCATCTCCCTTTAAGGAAGGGTAAACGCCAGACCTGCCTTCCTCCCTCCTCCCCCAGCGGCTCTCGCCCACACACACCATGCACACGAGTGCATACAGGCAGACACTTGATCATACACACAGGCTGGGGACCCAGATGCACGCACACGCCATGCACACATGACTGTGGAGAACACACAAAGTCTATGCACAGACACGTACACACACATGCCGCTGCTGGCCAGGCAGCACATGGTCCTCTGCTTACAGCCGGCCCTGCCCACGGGGACCGTCAGGGTGGGGTCCTCTCCCGGCAGTGAACTCCAATGCCAACATGGCACTTAGCCGGGACAAGTGCATTCTCGGCATCTGGCGAGCCCTCGGTGCAGGGGCACAGCACAGCCTCCCGCTCCCCAAGGCAGCGCCCCCTCCAGAGCGGCCCCTCCCGGCATCTATGATGCCCCTGGGTAGAGTGCCTGCTCCTGAGACCACCACCCGGGGAGGGCGAGGGGCAGGCACACAGCCACCCGGGGAGGGCGAGGGGCAGGCACACAGCCACAGCACGGGACCAGAGCGCCCGGCCCCTGCCTTCCCCCGGGGCTGTGCCCATCCTTCCTCTAGGTCCACCTAAAAGGATCCCAGAAACTGGGGAGGGGTGCCCCCAGACCTTCACCTACTGCAGAGGATGAGGAGCCAGGAGACAGGGCCAGGGTGAGGACCCGGAGGTGGGGCTGCAGGCCTGGGGGGCAGGTGCTGAGGGCAGGCAGAGCCGCCGGAGCCGCTGGGAGGAGGAAGATCCTGGCGGAGGCCTGTGCGCCCCGGGCCGGCCCTCGGCCTCATGCAGCCTCTACCACTGCACGGCGCCCGGACCCTTGCCTGGCGGGCGGAGCTGAGCTGTTTGCCCTTTGCGGCCCCAGGAAGGGCCTGGGTCGGTACCAAGGGGCCCGGTGCCCAGTCCATCAGCAGCAGGTGAACCGCAGGACACATAACACGGAAGGGGTGCTGTCACCTTGGAAACGAGTGGGCAGACGGCCGAGCTGAGGGCCAGGATGGGCAGTGGGGTGTGGGCAGCCCAGAGGGGAGGGAGGTGGGCTGAGTCAGGCCCAGCTCAGGGAGCGGCCCCGCCCGGCGATGCTGTCGGAGGGCTCGTGGTGATGAAGGCGGCAGGCGGCGGGCACCGGAGCCCGCACACGGCAGGCCGGCCATGGCTGGAACGGCCGTGGAGCTGGGTCAGGTGCTGCGTGAGGGCGGCTGCCAGGGTGATGCGATCGTCCTCGCCTCCTAATGAAGCCATAGCCCCGTCTCCCCAGAACCACAGCCCCCCACCCCCGGAACTGCCGTCTGAATGCCGCCTGGGAGGCCTCCCCCTACCCCGCCCAGCTCCTGGCCCCGGGACCGTCCCCCCTCCCAGCCCCTGTCCCCCCGAGTGATGCCACCTGGCAGAAACGCTCTGGACGGGGGGTGAGCCGTCTTCCTGGGCAGGAGCCGCACGCCGCAGCCCCCCCGCGGGCTCCCTGCTGCCCCTCACAGGGACCTGCAGGCGGCTTGTCGGGCTGGGCCCAGGCCGCCCTCCACACAGCAGGTGACCAGGAACCTGTGAGCGGAGGACACTCTTGGGGTTGAAGTGAGGGCAGCACTGGGACCCGGGGCGCCGCGTTCGCCTCTCAGCTGGAAAACGCTCTGGCCAGGCTGCGCCGCTGGCTGCAGACTCTCCCGCCTCTGCTCAGTCACACCGTCCACTGGGGAGGCCTCCGGGGCCGGCGTGCGGGGGGCGCTGCCTCCTCTGTGCCCCCGGGCCCGGGGCTGGACAGGCAGCGGCACCGAGGCGGCCCGGCACATGCCCACCGAGCAGTCCCGTCCTCGGCGCGGGCACAGGAGGCGGCCGCCGTCACCACCACAGGTTGGGCGGCTCCTCGGCCACGCGGCTCTTGAACAGGGTGATCTCGTCCAGGTGCGCCATGGGCACGTCCCGGATCACGTCCGCCAGGCCCTCGTGCAGCAGCGGGAAGATGACCACGTTCAGCGCGGGCCGCTCGGCCTGGAAACTGAGCCAGAGAGGCGTGAGCGGGCAGAAGGCCACCTGCCTCCGCGGCCACGGCAGGGTCCCCCTACCCCCCCCCCCGGCAGACCGGCCACGTGCCACGAAGACACAAAGCCAAGTGCCCGGAGCTCAGGGAGAAGGGGGCCGTGGACCTCCCGGAGAGAAGACACCAGAACCTCGGTCTCAGCGCAGGGGGCGGGCTGAGCCGCCCAAAGGAAGCTGGGCATCTGCCACCGAGAGAAGCCCCCCTGCGCCAGCGCCCTCCAGGGAGGCCGCCCAGCCGCACAGGCCCCGCCCTGGCTAAGGGCGCGGGTGGCGGAGGCGGGGAGCACCGTAAAGCTGGCGTCTGGGCGTCCCGGCCCCGCTGTTCCCCTCGAGGTGCCTGTGTGGCCGGACCCACAGCCACTCCTGGCTGCCGGCGCCCGGGCTACACTGAACCGCAATCTCCTCAGAAGTGGGGCCCGAGCAAAGGCCCCTGCCCCCCCGGGGCTGTAAGGAGCTGTCGGTGCTGAAGGGGATGGATTTCTCAGCAAGAGCCAGGAAGGCAGCCGAAACCGGTGTGGCTCAGTGGATAGAGCGTCCTCTGGGGACTGAAAGGTCCCGGGTTCGATTCCGGTCAGGGGCATGTACATTGGTTGCAGGCACATCCCCGGTGGGGAGTGTGCAGGAGGCAGCTGATTGATGCTTCTCTCTCATCGATGTTTCTAGTTCTCTATCCCTCCCTCTTCCTCTCTGTAAAATATCAATAAAATATATTAAAAAGAGAGCCGGGAAGGCAGTGCTGCATCCCCTTCCCCAGGAGGCCAGACGGCCCTCGGGACTGTGCAGAGGACACTGCATGGAGGGGCTGCCCGACAAAAGCCCGTCCCTCCCTTCAGCTCGCACCTGGAGGAGCCCAGCCTGGGCCCCCAGCGAGCACCCAGCCTCCTCCCGGAGCCTCCCCCCGCGGGGACCTCTGCTGCACCCAGGGCGGCTGGCAGAGCGAGCTGGTCAGTGCCACGGCAGCGGGAATGGCTCACTTCCCAGGCGGGAGGGGCTCCCGGGAGGGAGGCGTGTGCGGGCCATGTGCTCATGGACTCTGCTATGTAACGCACGTATGTGTTCATTGTGCTTTTGCGTGACTCAAATGTCCTCTGAGGTTCAAGTGAACAGATTCCTGAGACAAAACAAACTCGTTCGAGGCTGGTTATGCTCCGACTCAGGACCTGGTCCCCGAAGGGGCTGATCTCATCTCTAATGCTCTGCTGGAGTCACCTGGCGCTGACAGTGCCCCCAGGCCTCCTGGCGCACCCCCTGGCGCACCCTTCGGCTGCTCTGCCCCCAGGGCTGTCACTCGGGGACCAGAGGCAAAGCCTTCAGACCAGGCACCGCAGCCCGGCCCCGGCCCCCACGCGAGGCAAGGCAGGAGGAGACGGAGGTCACCAGGGTCATGGTTGCTCTGGCAGGAAGGCCGCCCCGCAGGAGTCAGTAGTGAAGGGCTCTGTGTGGGCAGCACCCGTTACCCTGCCGTGGCACCCGGAGCAGATCCACTGCACAGAGCACGGCCTGGGTTTCCTCCTGAGCGGCTGGAAGCAGAGTGAAAGCTGGCCTCCCCCAGTGCAGGTCAGAGAGAAGCCCAAGTGCAGGGAAGTCATTCTCATTGTAACGACAGCGCTCAAGAAGCTCTGAGGTGCCCGTGGCCAAGAGCCCCACAGCTGCCCAGCCGGTGTGGCTCAGTGACTCCAAGGTCAGCCACAGACCAAAGGTCACAGGCTCGAGTGCCGGTCAAGGCCATGTACCTCAGGCATAGGCTCAATTCTCAGCCCAGGTAAGAGTATGGTGTGGCAACCAATCCAAGTCTCTCTCTCACATCAATGTTTCTCTCCCTCCCTCCCTCTCTCTCTCTCTCCTTTCCTCCCCTCCCCTCCTTCCACTCGCTCTAACCATCAATGGGAAAATATCCTCAGGTGAGGACTTAAAAAAATAAAGAATCCCACAGCCAGCCTGGAACCCCCAGAATGCAACGCGCTGCTGCCTGGGAGGCGCACCCCAGGGAAGGGGGAGGGGAAAGAAAAGCGCAGAAGCTTTTCCTGCTCTCGCTCTATGGTGGCCCACAGGCCAGGCCAGGAGCAGACAAGCCCGGAGCTCTGGTTCCCGAGCCAGGGCGCCACCTGCTGGCACCCGCAGGACAGCAGCAGAGGCCTCGGGGCAGGGGCGGGCCAGGGGCGGGCCAGGCCTGGAAGTGCCAGTGGCTCTTAGAAAGATCCTCCGGAGCTTTAATGACAGAAAACCCACGAAAGAGCCTTAAATCAATGAAGTCAGAGAGGAAACCAATGAGAGCCCCGTCGCGGGCCGGGCCAGGGGAGCCTTCCCTTAAAGAGCGTGACGCAGTCTACACTTTCAAAAACACTATCAACGCGCACGATTCTCCCCGCCAGGGAGGGGCGGCCTCCCCGGGTTCCTCCTGGGAAGCTCAGACCAGTGCGGCCGCCCGCACCGGGCCGGACCCTGCCGAGCCCCGGCTGAGGCTCCCCGGGGGCTCCGAGCAGCTGGGCCTCCTCCTGGCCCCCCCCTGCGGGACGCGGGGAGCTGGAGGGTGCCCCTCCGGCCACGCTGAGAGAAGGGTGCCCTCCAGCCCTCTTTCGGGCCGGGCATTTCCTCAGGAGCCCTCAATGCGTGGCTGCTCTCAGCTCCTCTCCCAGAGGCGCTGCCCGGCCTCCCGGCCCAGGTGCTCCCTCAGCCTGCAGCTCCGGGAGGCCGCTGCCAGGGAACTGGGCCCTGCCTGCAGCGCAGCAGGGAAGAGGGCCCAGAGGCCGGGAGACGCAGCCCAGGAGGAAGCTGTGCTGTTTAATACATTTTCCTAGAGGCCCGATGCACGAAACGGCCCTCGCTGTCCCGGCTTCGTCCGGACGGTCTTTCTGCTGTTTGGCTGTTCAGTCGATTTGCATATTACGCTCTTACCATTGTAGATTGATTTCAGAGAGGGAGAGAGAGATGAAACATCAATGATGAGAGAGAGCCACGGATCGGCTGCCTCCTGAACACCCCCTACTGGGATCGAGCCGACAGCCCAGGCATGTGCCCTTGACCGGAATTGAACACAGGCCGATGCTCTATCCCAAGCCACACCGGCCAGAGCAGGGCGGCTGTTTTTAAATCCGCCGCCTGTAACCATCGCTACTCCATCTAAACGAAGGCCGAGACGGAGAAATTCAGTCTCCAGTTCCCTGCACCAGCTCGCAGAGGCGGAAGGGGCCGGGGGCCCGCGCTGGGCGGGGAGTGGGGTTGAGGGGACAGAGCTCAGCGTGGGAAAATGAGAATTCTGTGGTGGATGCACGGCAGTGGGGAGGTGCGGATTACCACAGAGCCGGCTCTTAAGACGGTTCAAATGCTGCACTTTCTTACATACATTTTACCACAATGAAAAAAATGGTTCGGCCGGCATGTCTCAGGGGTAAGCACTGACCTATGCACCAGGAGGCCATGGTTCACATGCCCAGATTGCGGGCTCCACCCCCAGTGGGGGATGTGGTGTGCCGGAGGCAGCCGGTCCGTGATTCTCTCATCACTGATGTTTCTAGCTCTCTTCCTCTCCGAAGTCAAGTAAAAATGTGTTTTAAGAAAAGGCAGAGCTGTGCGAGGGGAAGAGTGAGCTGTGGGAGTGACTGAGGGGTGGTCCCAGAGGAACCATGCTGGGGGAAAGCAGAGGCAGAGAGGAGAGGTCAGCGCTGCCGAGGCTGCAGCTGGGGGGGGGGCCTTCTCCAAGCACCCCTTTATTTTTTTATTTTATTTCTTTACCAAGCACCCCTTTCAGAGCCGGCTCAGAAACACAGGAAGACTTCGCACACCAAACACACACATGGAAATAAACCAACAAGACGTGGGTGGCTGCAGGCGGGGTGCTCCTGGGGCAGGCAGGTAAGTGCCGGAGGGCCGGGGACGAGGAAGGAGCCTGAGGGACGGGGGAAGCGGGTTTGACTGGGTCCCATGAGGCTCAGACAGAGGCACAAACTCTACCCCGGGTCTGCCTCTCGGGTGCAGGGGTTAGCGAGCCCAGCACTGCCCCCCGGTCCACTAGACGGAATAAATCCCACAGGCACTGCAGACGGGGACCAGGCTGCTGGCCGCCGGAGGCACGGCAGGGGGCAGGCTCCGAGGGGCCTGTGCGCTGGGCGGAAGGGGAGATGACGGCGGGAGCGTTTTCCACCCACACGTGTGCACACGGAGGCACGGGAGAGAACGCGGCGTGTGCGGCACGCATCAGCCTCCTGCCGCCCGGAGCGGAGAGTGAGCACCCTAAGGCCGGCCCGGGCTCTCCATACCTCCCCACACGGGACAGCTCCCTGCGAGACGGTGACCCGGGCTGGGGATACCCGACCTCCCGGGAGTGACAGGGAGGGAGGGGGCAGGGCCGTCTTCTCAGAGCAGACTCCTAACGGACGCAGAAGGAAGAAGGAAGCAGAAGGCCATCCCTGGGCCCAGGCCGCGCGTTCCCCGTGTCAGACCGGCCGGTGCGAGAGCCGCTGCCCTGCGGGGACCGGCCTGGGAGACGTTATGAGGAAGGGGCGCCAGGGGCTTCGGCAGGGACCCGGCAGCCCCGCAGAGAGAGGCAGGACACCGTGTCCCCGAACCGGACCGCTGGAGAGGAGGGCCCACACCACCTGCTTTTCTGGCCGACCCCACCAGACGCACCCACACTGACGGCAGTCCGCCAGCGCCTCCCAGGTGTCAAGGTCACGGCAGGCAGGACAGACGGAGGCGACGTGGCCGCTGAGCCGAGAAGGCTCTGGGTGGAATCCTGGGACAGGACCGGTGGGGAAACCGAGGCAATGCTGAGCCCGAGGGGGACGGGCTGAACCGCACTGCCCGCCGTGTGATGGCACCATGGGGACAGGCGAGCTGCGGGAAGCGGGAGGAGCGCACGTGTGCGGGGGCTGAAGGAGAGGCCGCCCGGGGAGAGGAGAATGGAAACCAGCCGTTCCCACCAACGTGGCCCAGGGTTCTCCTCCAGGAAATGGTTGGGGCGTGCGCTCAGTGACGCCAGAGGGAGCAGCAGCAACCAGGACGCCAGGCCGCTCGCTGGGCCGGCACTGGCGCCAGGCCCGGCCCCCCACCCTCCCCCCACCCCCACCCCCGCCCCCGCTGCCGCGCCCACTCACCTGCGGAGAAGGGACTGCTGCAGGCTCCTGCAGGTGGCCAGGGACTCGCCGGTGAACATGTGGCACACGACGACGTGCAGGCAGCGGGCCATGAAGGCCAGCACGGCCTCGGGCTGCAGGGTGCCGCTGCGGGACACCAGGCACAGGCGCTGCAGCGCGGAGCACTGGCTCAGCGCCTGGAAGAACTGCGCGTTGGCGCTGAAGTAGGGCTGCTCCAGCCTGAGGGAGGGGGGAGAGAGGGAGGGAGGGCATGAGTCCGCGGAGGCCGTCTAGGCCCCCAGCAAACAAGCAGACCCGGCACAGGCAGGGCCGGTTACACTTCCCGTCCCTCCATGCTCTAAGTGGCCCCCCACGGCCAGCCAAGCAGGTCCAGCCGGCCACCCCAGGGCCGGGCACCGTGCCGACCGCTCGCTGTACCACAGCCAGGCCCGGGCTGTCTCTCCGGGCCACGACCCTGCCCAGGGAGCAGACACCCCTGGCTGCCCAGGCAAGGCCGCCATCTGCACGCCACACCGAAGCCTGCTTCTTGGCGAGCTGCGGCTGCAGCGGGCACTCATCCTAACAGGAGAGGGGCTTCATGATGACCCGCCCAGGCCCCAAGTCCCCAGGTGGATGGGAGAGCGACAGGGAGGCTGACCCAACCAGGGAGGGGCAGTCAGCGGGTCCCCTCAGCCCCAACCCAAACCCAGGCCCACACTGCAGTCCCCCTCCCCCGACACCGGGCCCCGGGCGGGGAGGGTTTACGTCGGGTCCGTGTGAACAAGGGCAGACCGGGCCCGGACAGGCCTCCCACAGAAGCTCCTGAGGAGCCGCCCTGTCCGGGAGCCACCAGGCACCAGAATGCCCAGCGAGGCCGGGCCTGTGCCGTCACCAATGCAGCGCTCCTGACTGGCTGTGGGGGCAGCAGTCCTCCTGGGGGCGCGCCTGGCACGCCTGCGCCCTCCCGCCCACTCGGGGTGCAGAAGGAAGCCCAGCAGGCTGCGGGCGCGGACAGCAGGGAGACACGGGCTTTCCCCGGCTCCAGGGGATGTTTCGTCCTGAAAAAGCCGGGGATTCAGCACCTGAGATGCCAACTCACCAGCAAAAGCACACATTCTTTTTTTCTTTTCTTTTTTTTTTTTTAATATATTTTATTGATTTTTACAGAGAGGAAGAGAGAGAGACAAAGAGCCAGAAACGTCGATGAGAGAGAAACATCGACCAGCCGCCCCTTGCACACTCCCTACTGGGGATGTGCTTGCAACCAACGTACATGCCCCTGACCGGAATCAAACCCAGGACCTTTCAGTCCGCAGACCAACGCTCTACCACTGAGCCAAACCGGTTTCGGCAAGAAGCACACATTCTTAAAACACCAAGGGGCAGCAGTAGAGCGTCGGTCTGCGGACTGAAAGGTCCCAGGTTCGATTCCAGTCGAGGGCATGTACATTGGTTGCGGGCACATCCCCTACCGGTAGGGGGTGTGCAAGAGGCAGCTTGTCGGTGTTTCTCTCTCATCGACGTTTCTGGCTCTCTATCCCTCTCTCCTCCTCTCTGTAAAAAATCAATAAAATATATATATTTTTTAAAAGTATTATTAAAAAAAAAAAAAAACACCGAAGGGAGCATCTCTGCAGAACGGAGAGTGGGAACAGGAAGAGCCACCTTCCAGACTGGGACTATCCAGCCACCCGTCACCTGCAGCAGCAGCAGACGCAGGGCGAGGGGAGGGACCCAGCAACGGGGAGGCCAGCCTGCGACTCGGCCACTAGGTGGCGGTGCAGGCCTGCTCCCGCCCAGCCGTGGTGCCAACCTCCTGGCTCCACAGCAGCAGGCAGAGCGGGGCAGCTGGGGGCACATTAACCATGTCCTCGGCGAGCACCGCCTGCAGACGGCCCCCTGAAGGCGGCACCTGGCACAGGTGGGCAGGGGTGGAGGGAGGGTGCTACCCATGGCAGGGTGCTGGAGGGTGCTGCCCATTGGGGCAGCAGGGCTGGCGTGGCCACACCCTCCCCATCCCCTGGGTGGCTGGCAGAGGATGTGGACAAGGTAGCCCGGTGATGGGCCTCGCCTTGGGGCCTGTGGCCCTTGTCCCTCCCAGCCAGGCTCAACCTCCAACCAGTAAGGCTGGCCTCCAACCCCCTGGCGGGGGCGAGGTCTCCTCAGGCTCTAGCAGACAGGGATCAGGCCCTGGCTGGTTTGGCTCAGTGGATAGAGCATTGGTCTGGGAACTGGAAGGTCCCAGGTTCAATTCTGGTCAAGGCACATGCCTGGGGTGTGGTCTCAATCCCCAGTAAAGGGGTGTACAAGAGGCAGCCGATCAATGATTCTCTCTCGTCATTGATGTTTCTCTCTCCCCCTCTAAAATCAATAAAAAAAATATTTTTTAAGACAGGGCTCGGGTCTCCGGCCTCATCGGCCCAGCCAGCTCAGGCCCCGCAGCCCCAAGGCTCTCGCTTCCGCTCAGACGCTGCCTGTTCGGGTCACGGCTGCAACACAGGGTGACTCAGGGTGATGCTCCCCTCCCCACACACAAGGCAGGGCTCAATCGCTTCCAGGAAAGACGGTGCCTTCTCTGTCCAATCCGCAAAGCTCGCTGCCAAGGCGCGCCGCATCCAGAGCTGGCCAGGCCCCACGGCCTCCCCACAGGAGGGCCCTGCTGCACGGGGGCAGCCCTGCCCGCGCCCGGCGGGCACACAGCTCCCACTCACAGGCCTCACTGGTGGCGACAGCGGTGGCAGCGGGCTGGTATCCCGGCAGCTGCCTCACAGCAACACCCGCTGGGAAGTGCAGGAGCTGCCACAGACCCGACTGCCAAGCTGGACCACCACGTCCTTCCTGCATCCTGCCTGTCCCACCCTCCTCGTGCGTGGAGGCGCCACCTGCTCCTCTCGCTCAGCTCCCAGGCAGGGCGCCAGGGGAACGGGGCCACTTGGCGCGGCCGGAAGAGCCAGGGTTTGTTCTGAACAGGCAGTACCGCCGAGCAGACGCGGGTCTCGGCAGCGGCGCGCACAGAGAGGCCATTATGAGCCATGGCCAGGTTCTCGGCCTACAAAACCGTCCAAGTCCCGCGGCCTCCCAGCCACAGAACTCATGCCGCATGCTCAGCCCTGCTCCTGGGGAAGACTCGGCCACAGGACCACATCCCAGGCCCCGAAGCCATAGGGTGACCACAGGTGCTGCGTTACCCTGCTCCCTGCTCAACCGTCCACGAGGCAGAAAACCCTCCCAACTGCCCACAGAGCAGCTGTGTCACCGGGCAAGTTCACTAAGCCCCTGGGCCTCACTTTCCCCATCTGCAAAATGGATCCATAGCCCTTGCCGGGTGGCTTAGTCAGTTGAAGCATCGTCCTGGACACCAAAAAGTTGTGGGTTCGATCTCGAGCCAGGGCACAAACCTAGGTTGCAGGTTTGATCCCCAATTGGGGTGTGTATGGGAGGCAAACAATCAACATTTTTCTTTCACATTGATGTTTCTCTCTCTAAAAATCAAAGAAAAAAACACCTTTGGGTGAAAATTAACAAAAAACATCTTTTTTAAAGGGCAAAGGATGTCTACCCCATGGGGCTGTTAAGCGAGGTCATGCCTGTATGCACAGGAGCACCATTCAACCACCAGCCACTGCTGCTGCCACCTCTTCCCTCAGCTGCCTGAGCCCCTGCCTCTCACCTGCCCTGCCCCTCACAGCCTTGCTTGGTTGCCTGTGCGTATTCTTCTCCTCTGGACAATTTTCTCCCCTTCAGGCTTTTTAAACTACGTGAATGTGTCCTAGCTGGTATGGCTCAATGGATAGAGCATCTGCCTGTGGGCTGAAGAGTCCCGGGTTCAATTCCGGTCAGGGCACATGCCTGGGTTGTGGGCTCGAGCCCCAGTGATTCTCTCTAATCATTGATGTCTATCTCTCCCTCTTCCCTCCTCTCTGAAATCAATACACACACACACACACACACACACACACACACACCAAAGTTAAAAAAAAGAAAATAAATAAAAATAAAAAACAAAGTAAACTACATGCACGCATTACTTTCCTTTCACTGGTTTGTTTTTCTCAGTCTCCGGATGATGACCTAATGGTTTGACGTAGTAGTTAGAAAAGGTGTAAGGTTCACGGCTTGGCAATAAGTAAAAAATACAAATAAAAAGGGCAAAAGCAGCGGACCCAGAGGCCAGGAGCACTGTACTCGGAGCTCAGTCCCTGAGAACTCAGAGGCTCTCCGGCCCCGTGAAGGAACGTCCATTCCTGGCCTCCAGGCTCCCGGGCTAACGGGAGACCTGGCGGCTCCGTCTGTGGAGGGCACTCTGGACTCACTGGCAGCTTCAGCTCCACAGGCTCTGCCCTCACCAGGCTCCCTCATGGGGCCAGCGACAGGCCAGCTGAGGCGCAGGGAGGGGCGGGAGGAGCCAGCGAGGGGAGGAGGAGAGGAGAGGGAGCTGGCTCCTGGTGCTGCTGGAGGGCTGGGCGAGGGGCAGGCCTGTCCTGGCAGGGGCGGGGAAGGGGACCTGCCGTGGCCTGACGCCTCCTCGGCCCCTGGCAGGAGGCCCCGAGGCGGGCCTGGACGGGAATGGCAGCTCCCCAACGCCTCACCTTGTCACCTCCACAAGCTCCGAAGGTGCTGGAGCCTCCCGGGGCCAGACCGTGCAGCAGGCTGCACACCAGCCTCACCGCTCGCACTGTCACCTTGGCCTCGGCTCTCTGCGCCGGGGCTGAGCGCGCCACGGTTCTGAGCATGGGCAGCGGGCGAGACAGCGTAAGTGACGTCCCTGGCGGCACGGGCTCCCGGATGCTCAGGTGAGCACGGAGCGGCCAGTCCGGGCCTGCTGACCCCACACGCAGGCAACGCCAGGCCGCGTGCCCTCTCTGCCCCCGGGAGGCCAGGCTGCGCCCTGGGGCGGAGGGAACGGAGGGGTGGGTGGCGCGCAGCCTGCTGTTCTGGAAGCTCCAGCTCTAGTGTGGCTCCTTCCCTTGGGGAAACCTCCTGAGGGAGAGGTCTGCCACGGTACACTGAACCTCAGCTCCTCCCGCCAGCCGCCCTGGCCTGTTGGTGAAATGGGACCATGTGGGAGGAGTCAGCCAGTGCCCGCGAGCCCTCCGCAAAGTGAGCACTGACTGCCTGGGGACAACACACGTGTAAGTGGACCCTCTGAGACCACCTCGCTGGTCTCCACCCACAGCCCTCGGCAGCGGAGCGGGTGGCCGCGGAGCCGGGGTCTGCTGCCGCCCCATCTGGGTCGTTTCTGGGAAATGCTACCATTTTTCAAGCTCAGGTCAGTCCAGGTTTTCAAATGGGTCTCGGGTAACGAAGGCTTACCCTTCAGTGCGGGGCCCTCGTAAGACCTTCAGGCCACCCGGTGGGATGCACGTGGTGCCACAGTTAAGTTCTCCGAGGCTGTGGCTTTGCCTCCTCTCACCCCGGATCGGCCCTGCCATTCTGCCCCAGAGGGACCACGTCACCTCTCAGCAGTAGGCAGCCCCCTCCGAGCCGCCCACCTCCCAGCCTCGCCCGCAGTCCGGGCGGGAGCAGTGGGCACCGCCTCCCGGTGCTGGCTGAAGAGCGCACACAGCAGCACTGACAGCCGCAGGCACCACCGCCTCCTCACGCCTGCTGGCCCCACGCACAGCTTCCCCGCGCCTCTGCCCCACAGAGTCCCATCCCCGCACGCAGGACCTGCCCAAACCCCACCCAAGACTCAGCGCCTGGCCGCAGGCATGCGCCGGCTCATCTGGGCAGGCACACAGTGGGGATGCGATCGCTTGCCAATGCAAGGCCCTCTGCCGGCTCCGGGCCTCCGGAGGGCAACTGCGGCTCAGAGTTCGCGCCCTCACCTGAGGTCCTTCAGCCGCTTGCAGTGCTTCAGCATGTCGGACAGGGCGGACATGTATACCACCTTCCCCATCATGCCCAGGTTGGCCAGCGAGAGGGACTGGAGCTGCTGGCACTGCAGGCCGATGCTGACCAGCCCGGAGCCCGTGAGAATGCTGGGCAGCTGGGCCAGCGTCAGGTGCCTCAGGAAGGCCAGCTGGCCGATGGCGGCCACCTCGGCGTCCCCCACGCTCTGCGCCCGGCTGCAGGGCGGCAGGGAGTTGCGGATGGCGGGCTCGTTGCGGGGCATGGCGGAGGAGAAGTTGGACCCGATCAGCTCGAGGCGCTGCAGGAAGGGCAGGCTCTTCAGCAGAAACCAGAACACGGAGGAGGGCTGCGGGCCCGCCTGCCCCGGGAAGGGGCTGGGACACGCCTGCACGCCGATGCGCACCTTCTTGCCGAAGCCGCAGGGCACGGCGTGCATGGCGGGCTGGGCAGGCTTGCGGTCGGCCCGCGGCGCCGAGTCGGCCACAGAGCAGACGGGCAGGGACAGGGAGCGCAGGTGGCCCAGCTGGGCCAGCAGCTGGCACAGGTGCCGGCCCGGGCCCTCGGCGCTGTGGTGGTGGGCGGCCGACAGGTTGAGGTGCCGCAGGTTGCAGCAGGCGGCCACCAGCGTCTCCAGGATGCCGCTGTCGATGTCATCCTCCGCCCTGCGCAGCAGCGAGTCGGGGGCCAGGCAGTGGGCGCAGCCGCTGAGGTTCAGGCTGGCCAGGCTGCGCAGGTCCTTGCCCCCGTTGAGGATGTGCTGGATCAGCAGGCTGCCCGACACGGTGCAGCGGCTGAAGCTCAAGTAGAAGGGGTTGTGGAAGCGCATGTGCTGGAGCAGGGCCGAGCCGCTGAGCCAGGACTTGGGCAGCTGCAGGGCGTCCAGCACCACGTTGCGGGCCATGGAGTCCAGCAGGTTCCGGGTGGCCCCGCTCTCGGCGAAGCTGCCGGGCACGGAGATGAGGAAGGCGTGCAGGTTCTCGGGGGTGCGGTCGCTGAGCACGGCCAGGTAGAGCCGCACCACCTCCTGGTTGATGTAGCCGGGCGCCAGGCGGGCGTAGAAGACGCGCAGGTTCTGGTAGCGGGGCACGTTGCTCTGGCCCACCATGAGCTGGCCCGGCAGGATGGCGCCCTCGCGCGTGCGGTCCAGGATCTCGAAGTAGAGCAGCAGCCTCTCGAGGCGGGTGCAGCAGGGCACCACGCCGTACGAGGGCGCGAACAGCGTCTGCCGGAGCTCCCGCACGCGGCTCAGCGTGGCCTTGCACTCGCCGCTCAGCTGGCCGGCGTCGAAGCCAGGGCTCACGTCGATGGCCAGCGAGCGCAGGTGCTGCAGGGCCGACAGCACCTTGGAGAGGCGCAGGGAGGTGAGGTGGCAGCCCGACAGGTCCGCCTTCACCAGGCTGCGGCAGCGGGCCACGTGCTCGATGGTGGCGCCCGACAGCCAGTAGCAGCCGGCCATGTTGAGCTGCTGGATCTCCCGGCCGATCTCCCGCAGGAGCTGCTTCACCTGGTCCTCGCCGGCCTGCAGGAGGGGGCGGGGACGGGGAGGGTGAGGCGCCAGGTGTCTCACCTCCACCTCAGGGCAGCCTGGCCCCGGAACACCGGGGCCCGGGAGGCCCCGCAGAGGCCCTGCCCGGCTGAAGGGACACCGGGAGCGCTGGCGCCCCTCCCCCACACACTCACCTTCAGCCAAGTCAAGGCCCCGCTGGTAGGAACGTCCATGGTCAGCCTTCCCCTGGGAAACCTTTGGTGGCTCCACAAACAGCTACATGGAGTCCCCCTGGCCGCCCCGGGCCACTCAGCCGGCTCCCGGGCACACCTCCCCGGGACTGCCCTGGGGCTGGGCAGGTCCTTCCCCCCACGCTCACAGCAGTGTGACCCATGATGGCCAAAGGGGAGGCAGCCCACGGCCCATCCCCGGATGAAGGATAAACAAAACGGGTCCATCTGTACAACAGATCCTGTTCGCCACGGAGAGAAATGACGTTCTCTACACGGATGGACCTTGGGGACATATGCTCAGAGGAAGAAGCCAGCCACAAAGGACCCGTATTTAGGTTCTACCGACGTGACATATCTGAAGAGCCAAAATGGCAAACAGAAAGTAGAACAGGGCCACCAGAGGCCGGGGAAGGGGTTATTGCTAATGGCTCCCGAGTTCCCGCATGGGGCGGTGAGAGGCGCCCAGCACCCGCGTGGCTGACCCTGCGTGGCTGACACCGCGTGGCTGACACCGCTGCACTGGAGTGGGGAGGCTGTCAGCTGTCATGTGGCGCTTTGCCGCGCAGTGGAACCTGGAGGCTGGCCCTGGCCGGTGCTTTCCTTCCCATCGTGTGCGTCTTCACGCACCAACTACCTAGACGTCTGGCCCTCCTGCTGGGAGCCACATGTCCAGACGGGCCCGGCGGCCAGTCAGCAGCAGATGGACACAGGTCTGCTACAAGCGAGGCCTTGGGACAGCGAGGCCTTGGGACAGCACGGCATCGGGCACCGTGTACGTCACCCTCAGGCTTCTGACCTCTTCTCTGAGGTCAGCATGGCACTCAGAGGTGAGGACACGCACCGCTCTGGAGCGGCTCCTCCTAGCTTTCAGCGTCGCTTCCTCCCGGTGACAGCACGAGGACCCTTCCCCAGGCCCCTGCGATCTGAGGGAAGATCAAGGCCTCAGTGTGTTTTTAGCTCTAAGATTGGGTATCAAGCCAAAACCGGTGTGGCTCAGTGGATAGAGCGTCGACCTGCGGACTGAAAGGTCCCGGGTTCGATTCCGGTCAAGGGCATGTACCTTGGTTGCAGGCACATCCCCAGTAGGAGGTGTGCAAGAGGCAGCTGGTCGGTGTTTCTCTCTCATTGACGTTTCTAACTCTCTGTCCCTCTCAATTCCTCTCTGTGTAAAATCAATAAAATATATTTTTTAAAATGATAATAAAATAAAATAAATAAAAATAAAAAAGATGGGGTACCAACTCTTTTCCAACAAAGGCTGCGAGGCATGCTGAGGGGAGGCTAACCGTAGCCAGAAAGTGAGCCTCAGCCCTCCCTCCCCACGGACCAGACTTCCCGTCAGGCTGGCCTTGAGCCTGCTCTCAGACACACAGGTCAGAGCTGGGGAACCGGGCACCACATGCATGAGGACGAGCCAGGGCCATTTTACACTGAACGCAAAAACTAACTCAAAACAGATTAATGACTCGATGTAAAACCTGAAACCATACACAGGCAGGAAGAAAACACAGGCAGGAAGGGCCTTGACGTCAGTCTTGGCGATGAGTTTTTGAATCTGACACCAAACGCAAAAAAAGCAAAAAACGAACAAGTGGGACTACATCCAACCAAAAAGCCTCTGCTCAGCAAGGGGAACCGGCAGCAAATGAGACAACCTAGGAGAAGGGAGGAGTATCTGCAAATCACATCTGGGAGGGGTGAGCTCATCCAACAGCAGCAAACAAAACAAGCTATCCAATCAACAAAGGGCGGAGGGTCCGAACAGACATTTTCCCCAAGAAGACACACAATGGCCCGCTGGCGTGGCTCAGTGGCTGAGCATTGATCTATGAACCAGGAGGTCACGGTTTGATTCCGGGTCAGGGGACAGGCCCTGTGGATCCCCACTGTGGGGCGTGCAGGAGGCAACAGACCAATGATTCTCTCTCATCACTGATGTTTCTCTCTCCCTCTCCCTTCCTCTCTGAAACCAATAAAAATATATATTTTTAAAAAGATGACACACAAAAAAAGATGATGACGAGGAAATTTCATGACCTCAGGTTATATAAAGATTCCTTCAACAGAATACAACAAGCATAAATTCAAAATTTCAATCAATTGGATTTCACCAAAATTAAAAATGTACCCCCTCCAGATGTCACTGTTAAGAAAATGAAGTGGCCGAAACCAGTTTGGCTCAGTGGTAGAGCGTCGGTCTGCGGACTGAAAGGTCCCAGGTTCGATTCCGGTCAAGGGCATGTACGTTGGTTGCAGGCACATCCCCGGTAGGGGGTGTGCAAGAGGCAACTGGTCGATGTTTCTCTCTCATCGACATTTCTAGCTCTCTATCTCTCTCCCTTCCTCTCTGTAAAAAAAATAAATAAAATATATTTTTTAAAAAAAGAAAATGAAGTGGCAAGCCACAAACGATGAGAAAAAATACTCGTAATAGGTGAATCGGACAAAGGATTTGTACCCAGAACATACACAAACTCTTGTACTCAGAGAGCAAGAGACACGATAAATGAGCAAAGCCTGGCACATCACTTCCAGAAAGACAAAGGGCCACACCGCCGATGAAGACCAGACCAACAGCCTCGTTGTGGAGCGCAGTGGGAAGCACGGGATCCTGTCCCGCCCCAGACTGGCCAGAACTGAAAACAGACACCACCAAGTGCTGACGAGCATGCGGCACAGCCAGACTGCGGGTCCCCTGCTGGGGGTGTTCGTGGCGCTACCTGCACCACTCAGAGCTCATGTGACCTCACAGGAGAGTGCCCCCATCCTGGGGCCGGCAATGCCCTTCCTGGGAGTCAACTGCCACGTGAGGCTTCCTCTCAGCAATGTCCCCGCCCCCTGCCCGCTCCCAGGCGCACGCTCCTGCCCCTTCTGGCCCCAGCTCTGGTCACATGAGCATCTGGAGGCTGCCCCTGAGAACTCTGAGCCGCCTCCTGTCATGAGCTGCGTGTGCCCCTCTCGCAGGTGGGCGTTTGCTCCCCATCCCCCGCCCCCAGAGCCAGCACCCGCACCGGCCTCACCTCGTAGTCCCTCTGCAGCAGCACCGTGTGGGTGAGGCTCTTGTCCAGGCACAGCTCCGCCAGCTTCCGGCACGTGTGCCGCACGTTCACCACCAAGTCTGTGCAGGGGACGTGGCTCAGGATGTGCAGGAGGATCTCGTCGGAGAAGCCCAGCAGGTGGGCACCGCCCGCCACCGCAGCGGCCGCAGGGGGCGAGTCGCCATCACTGGGGAGGTCCTGCAGATAAGAAGCACCGAATTCCCATGCATGCCCTTGGACAGCCCGCAGCCAGCCTCCCAGCCAGGGAGAGAAGCCAGGAGACGCCCCACTCCGTCCGTGGGAAAGAAGGTGCCTTTACCAGAAACCTTAACTGCAGAGCAGCCCAGCCTGCACGCTCAGGGGCTGAGCAGCAACCTGTGAACCAGGAGGTCACAGTTCGATTCCTGGTGACGCACATGCCTGGGCTACAGGATGGGTCCCCAGGAGGGAGCGGGCAGGAGGCAGCCGATCAATGATTTTCTTCCTTGATGTGTCTCTCCCTCCCTCTCCCTTTCTCTCTGAAATCCATAAAAATGTTAAAAAAGAAAGAAGCAACTGGGTTAGTAGAGGGGTCTGCACCTCACAGGGCAGCCGTGAGGGTAAACCGTGCGGCCGGTGCCTCTGCAGCTGCCTCTAAGGCCAGTAAAAGGAGAGGCCTGCCATGGAGAATGAGACTAAGTTCTCACAAACAAGACCCGGCGCTGACCAGACGGCAATGTCGCTCCGCACTCAGCCTGGTGACCAGTCACAGGGGCCGTTTCCCTGCACTGCGGCATCCGGCTAGAACGCGTGGGGTGTCCACCAGCTGAGCACCCACGGCCTCGCACCTCTGTGGTGTGCACAGCTCTCCTCGCGAAGGGCCGGCCTGCCTTCCGTCCCCCTGCCCTGCCTTTGATGTGCACACCCAGAGGACGGGGCTCCACCGAGCTCAGCGCTCACGGAGTCCCCAACTCGAGGCCACAGGAGGTCAGGTGCTCCACCCCTCCAGGGAGAGAACCCAGAGTGTGTGTCCTTCCCCCCCCTCCCCCCCCCCCCCCACGCTGCCTTCCCCGGCGTTCTCCCTGCGGGCCCCCTCCCGCCTGCCTTTCTGCACATGTTTTTGTGGATGGAAGCGCTGAGGCTTGGAAAGCCCTGCTGCTGCCATGGCAACTGTGAAGTCTGCGGAGGAAGAACCAGCCTGCAGCCCACGGCCAAGGCTCCGCCGGGCCAGAAGGGGCTCAAGGAGCACATCCGCTCAACAGCTCGGCCCCCACGCCCTTTGCTTCAGAAGAGGCGCAGGCAGGGTCGCGGTGCTCTGTCCACCTGATGCCTCGCTCCAGCTTCCTCCTCCGCGGGCAGCGGGCAGCGGGCAGCAGCAGGCCCACGCCCACAGCTAGTCCGGGCCGCTGCCTTCCGGGCCCGGGGTTCGGGACCCCAGGGAGCTTCCTTAGACGCTCCCCAGCCTGATCACTGGTGAGCAATCATTCCCAGCCCCGCACTGGATGGAGGGCTCCACCCCCGGGGGAGGCAGGAACAGGACAGGCCTTAGCGGGAAGCTGGCAAACAGGCCTCGGGCACCGGGAGGGTTGCCCCTCCTGATCCCCAACCTGCAGGTTTACAAAGGAAGAATGCCAACACGGCACAAACACCAAACCATAGCATTTCCAGTCACACTACTAATTCTAAACTTCTTTTAAATCCACCTAGAAATCACAAGAAAAGGAAAAAAAAGATAGGAACTAAGTCCGGCTCCCTCCATTGGCTCCCTCCATCAGTCTCAGCACCCCCCACCCCCCACCCCCGCCCCAGGATGACTGTTCCCACAGGCTGGCCCGATGCCGGGCGGCCTGGAGTACCTGCCCCCACAGGCAGCAGGTCATTTCATTCCCCTGGGACTCAGGACTTCAGCTCAAATGCTGCCCCCTCCTGGCTTCCCCAATACCCTCCTCCCCCCGACCCGTCTCACCAGAGGAACTCAACTGGTCTGCTGGCTCTTATCGCCTCACTAGGCCAGGAATGAATGGATCGGTTTTTAACGCCCAAGAGAAAGACACTGAACCAGGTGAGTCAGCGAACCACCAGCTTCAGAATCATTTGAAGCAGAACTCCATCTTTGGAAACTGGGGGGGGGGGGAACGGGACACCCTGCACATCCGAGCTCTAAACCAGCAGTGACTTTCACAACCAGAACAGCCCGCTCTGGAATCAGAGAGTGGGGGTGGCTGCACAGCCTCCTGAATGTATTTTTTTAAAACCACTAAATTGTAGCCTTACCCAGTTTGGCTCAGGATAGAGCGTTAGTCTGCAGACCAAAAGGTCCTGGGTTCTTTTCTGGTCAAGGGCATGTACCTCGGATGCAGGCTCCTCCCCAGTCCAGGCCCTGGTCTGGGTGCGTGCAGGAGGCAACCAATCAAAGTGTCCCTCTCGCATCGGTATTTCTGTCTTTCCCTCACTCTTCCACTCTCTCTAAAAATCAATGGAAAAATATCCTCGGGTGAGGATTAAACAGTAAAATAAAATCACTGAATTGTGCATTTTAAAAGTGTGCATTCTGCCCAGCTGGTGTGGCTCATGGGTGAGTGTCAACCCATGAACCAAGAGATCGCCTGTTCAATTCCCACTCAGGGCACAGGCTGGCACTGCAGGCTCAACCCTCCATGGGGGCATAAGAATGCAGCCAATTGATGTCTCTCACTTCCTCTCTCTAAAATCAGTAAGAATGAAATTTTCAACTGTGGATTCTATAGTATGTGAACTATAGCTCCATAAATAAGTAAAAAATTAGACCATCTGAGAGAGAGGGAGCTTGATCTCCACATCCAGGGTGGAAAGAAACTCAAGACACGCCCACAATGCAAAAGAGGCCTTCCTGGCCAGGTTCCCAAAAATGTGCCTCAATGCCGGGACCGGTTTGGCTCAATGGATAGAACGTCGGCTTGGGGACTGAAGGGCCCCGGGTTCGATTCTGGTCAAGGGCATGTACCTTGGTTGCGGGCACATCCCCGGTAGGGGGTGTGCAAGAAGCAGCTAATCAATGACTCTCATTGATGTTTCTAACTCTCTATCTCTCCCTTCCTTTCTGTACAAAAATCAATAAAATATATATTTTTTTAAAAATGTGCCTCAAGGAAGGGGGGGGGGTTCTGCGCCAGGACCCCCATAAGACCCAGGAGCCAAACACTAGACCCCTCCCCCACCCAATCCCCCTCAAGCACACACAGTTCACCAGAACCTGTGAACACAGCCGGTACCCTGGACTCTGCTCAGGAAGCTGCCATGGTCCTGCCCTTCAAGCCACCACCGGCCTGCAGGTAGGCCCCACAGCCTCCCCTCAACCTAGGAGCCCCGGGGCCCTTCTGAGCCAAATTCACCGCCAAGTCAGAGGAGCTGTGAGCTCCTCCCAACCATGTCCCACTCGGCGACATACTCAAGCCCCATCACTCCAGTTTGCCAGCCCAGGCGAGCCCCTAAGAGGCAGCATGCGCCAGCCCCCGAAGAAGACAGGGGTACGCATAAAGGTATTGGGGAGCAACAAAAGGGAAGGCACCGTCAGGGTCCAGATCCCCCACGCGGGCTGCAGAGGAAACAGCTTGCAACACTTGACAGGGCGTCGGTGGGCTTCTCCCTGGACTCAGGTTTGTGGAGCTGGAGCGTGGGGGAAGGAACTGGGGGTAACTCCTAAGTCCCCCAGGTGAAATGGCTTTTCCTTTACGACACCCCCTCCCACCCGCGTCACACACCATGAGGCTCAGAGAAGAGCGGGCTGGACCTAAACTGTGCATTCCGGGACAGGGGATGGGATGCGAAGAGGTTGGAGGGAGGACCTCTCAGGGGCCTGGAAACGGGGCGGAGAGGCGGGAAGACGCGGGGTGGGCACGCCGGGCTGGGAGAGGCGTGGGAACCCGCCCGAGGAGAGAGCTGGTGCCTCGGGGGTCGGGGCGACGGCCTGGCGGGCGGGAGAGAAGGGCCGAGGCCGGGGTCAGGGCGGGACCGGGAGGACCAAGCCCCGCCGGCACCGGGGCCGGGGTGGAAGGACCGGCGGGGCCGGGGTCGGAGCCGGGGCCGGGCCGGAAAGGACGGAGCGGGACGGGGCGGACGGAGAGGATGCAGGGGCACCGCCGTCGGGGCAGGGGAGGCCCCGGGGCGAGGTGCGGGCAGGAGGGGGCGGGAGGCGCCGCGTACCTCTCCGGAGCTGGCCATGTCGAGGCCCGGGCCGCGCCCGCCGCCGCCGCCGCCCCCGCGCCTCCCGCCTTGGCGACCCGGGACGCCCAGAGCCGGCGCGTCCGCCGCTCCACAGCCCCGGCGGGGGCGGGGCCTCGCGCACTTCCGGCGCGCCGGACACGCACTTCCGCTCGCCCGCCGCTCGCCCCGCGCAGCCGCCATGTTGGGTGCGGCGCCGCGACGAGGCCCCGCGAGGGCGCGGGCGGGCCTGGGCAGACCCCCGCGGGGTCCCTCCGCGCCGGTGGCCTCCGCGCTCTGCCGCAGTTAGTTAAAAGCCCACGCGTGGCCGTGGCGCCCGAGGCTGGCGTCCCGGGGGCAGGCCCTCTCCCCGGGGCCCGCGGCGCCCCGGCCCGAGCTCCGTGCGGAGGCGCCAACCGCAGCGGGGGTGGCGGCCCCGGCCCCCGGCAGGGGTTCGGGGTCCCCGCCGTGCCCTCCGGGTGATGCCAGGCCAGAGCCTGGATTCGGGCCCTGCGCTAGGAGCCGTCTTACCCTCCGAGCCCACTCCCCACCGGCCGCGCCCCGACTCCGGGGAGGCGTCAGGAGGGAGGGGCGCCCCGGGCCCCAGCCCCCCGCCGGCCTGGGCCCCGCTCCCTCAGGCGCCGGGGCAGGTGTCCGGGCGGGGCCGCCCCGCAGAGGAGGGGCGCCTGGGAGCCAGAGCCGCTTCCGGGGCAGCCGGCCGGGAGGCTTAGGGTCCGGGGGGAACGGGTGTGTCTGGGCGGGACGCCCTGTCCCGGGAGGCGGGGAAGCCAGCGGGCAGCGGCCGGACTGCCCAGGTGTCCGGTCCACTCCCGCTTTCTCCTGGGCCCGGGGTGCCGCCTGGGCCAGCCGGCAGCCCTCGCTCAGCCTCGGCTTTCCAACCTGAGCAATGGGCGCCCGCGGGAGGCGGAGGCAGTGTGGCATCCCCGCGGAGCCCGGCCAGCAGCAGAGGGCCAGCCCCGCGCAGGCCTGGGCGGAAAGGAGCGGGGCCTGAAGGACTCTCAAGGTCAAACGTGTGTCTCAGCTGCACTGGCAGTTTTTCAGAGGAAAAGATGGATGGAGCGCCTGCTGCAACCACCCCTCCACGCGATCTTGACGGTCCGTGGACTGCGATGGAAGTTTTCCAGGCTCCGGCCCAACTCTCCTCCCCCTTCTTCCCCGAGGGGGAGGGCTGTGTCTGGTCCCTCCGCATCTGCGACAAGCATGCCCAAACTCCCACCTGCTCAAATCGACGTCTCTCGCTCCCTCTCTCTAAAATAAATACATTTTAAAAAGAAAACTTACTTTCCCTGAGCTCAGAATGTACTATCAACTGATTGGCCCAAAAGAGCCAGAACTGGCCCAGGAGAGGAGTGACTTCCTGTCACAGACCCTGCTTCCGGGGCCTCTGAGGCTGGGGTTGGGGAGTCACAGGAGCACCCTGGGCACTCTGCTGCCACGTCCGGACCAACGGCTCCAGCCCAGGGGTCCCTGCTGTGGTGCTGCGGGCCTGGACCAGGAAAACCCAGTGAGCCCAGGGATCCCAGGCTCCAGTCCGTTCTGGAAGCCATCACAAGGTCTTGGAACGGTCTCCTCACCAGGGAAGGGGCCACACTGACAGTCAAGTCACCGTCAAGAGTGGGCCAAGCTCCACTCCCCGTCAGGAAGAGGACCCAAGAGCCACAGACTCCTCCGAGGAGGGGAGGACCCCCTCAAGCCTCAAATCTGGATTGACAGGCACCCCAGCTGTGCCACTCCCTCAGAAATGGGGGAAGCCCCTCAGGGGGACCGCACCCTCTCCCTGCGGTGCCAGCAGCAGCTGCTGGGGGGAGGATAGGCCAGGCTTGTTCTCCTGCACCATGCCCCCAAGACCCGGCCGCTCCCGCCCTGCAGGGTCCCAGGCCTAGGCCAGGACTGCACTTGACCATGAGAGGAAGGAAGGCATCGTCCTACAAAAGTAAAACCCTGACACCCCCAGAGCCATCTCCACCAACCTGACACCCTGCAGACCCCCAGACAAATCCCCTCTTCAGCTGTACTGGTCACTCCAGGTGAGGCTGCAGGTCTGTAACCTGTTCTCGGCCTCAGACTCACGGAGGCTGTGGCCCAGCAGCCGTGAAGGTACCCACCCAACCCCGAGGCCAGTCCCTGGAAGGGGGCCCCTCTGGAAGCCATCTGCACTTCAGCTGGAAAGCAGGGGGGGCCAGCCAGGGGTTTCCTTTCAAAGGCCTAGAGGCCAGGATCCTAACTCCTCCCAGCCCCTCCCCTAGACTGGCCCCTGCTGGTTCCAGCACCCCCCCCCCCCCCCGCACCCATTTCCCCAAACAGCCACGCCAGAAAGCCAAGTTCCTTTAAGGTGTGCACTTTATTGAACTGGTCTCAAGTCAGTGTACAGGTAAGCCCCGCTTGGCTGCCTCCACACCTCAACCCACTCCCGGGGGACCAAAGCCTTCATACATCTCAAGTTCGGGACAAAAAGGGGGGCCACGATGGCTGGCCGTTCAAAATAAAACAAAAAGAACAAGTATTAAGGCGAAGATTAAAAAATTTGGATTACATAATTTACACAAAAGCAATGCTATCACCCTTCAAGTGTGGACTCGGGCAAGGACTGGCCCTTCTTGGGGAGAAGTGGGCGGCTGTGGGGCAGGCAGGGACTTCCTGTAACAATGCATCCATATCTGGAATGACTATTAAAAAAAAGAACAATGTACAATCAAAGTCCTCGGCCACATTGTAGAACTTTGGGGATGCTCGCTCCAACAGACTGCTGTCACCTTCACCGTTCCAGTTTTTAAATCCTGAGTCAAGCGCCAAAAAAAAAAGATCAAAAAACAAAACAAAAAACAAAACAAAACAAAGCCATGCCAATCTCATCTGTTTTCTGCGCAAGTTAGGTTTTGTCAAGAAAGGGTGTAACCAGCTAAGTAACAGTCCGCCTAGAAGCATTTGCGGTGGACGATGGAGGGGCCGGACTCGTCGTACTCCTGCTTGCTGATCCACATCTGCTGGAAGGTGGACAGCGAGGCCAGGATGGAGCCGCCGATCCACACGGAGTACTTGCGCTCAGGGGGCGCGATGATCTGGGGAGGCAAGGGGACAGTTAGCATCAGGACCCCGTGGCACCAGAAGCCCCTCCCGCCACGGCCAGGCGGACTCCACTGGACCAGGCCAGCTCCCTGGGCGGGCACCCACCTTGATCTTCATCGTGCTGGGAGCCAGAGCGGTGATCTCCTTCTGCATCCTGTCGGCGATGCCTGGGTACATGGTGGTTCCACCAGACAGCACCGTGTTGGCGTACAGGTCCTTACGGATGTCGACGTCACACTTCATGATGGAGTTAAAGGTAGTTTCGTGGATGCCGCAGGATTCCATGCCTGAAGGGAAGAAGGCAGACTTAGCTTCCAGCGTGGCCACAAGGGCGGCCTGTGTGGAGCAGGGGCGGGGCCTCACTCACCCAGGAAGGAGGGCTGGAAGAGGGCCTCGGGGCAGCGGAACCGCTCGTTGCCAATGGTGATGACCTGCCCGTCGGGCAGCTCGTAGCTCTTCTCCAGGGAGGAGCTGGAGGCTGCGGTGGCCATCTCCTGCTCGAAGTCCAGGGCGACGTAGCACAGCTTCTCCTTGATGTCACGCACGATCTCCCGCTCGGCCGTGGTGGTGAAGCTGTAGCCGCGCTCGGTGAGGATCTTCATGAGGTAGTCGGTCAGGTCCCGGCCCGCCAGGTCCAGACGCAGGATGGCGTGGGGGAGGGCGTAGCCCTCGTAGATGGGCACTGTGTGGGTGACCCCGTCCCCGGAGTCCATCACGATGCCAGTGGTACGGCCAGAGGCGTACAGGGACAGCACAGCCTGGATGGCCACGTACATGGCGGGGGTGTTGAAGGTCTCGAACATGATCTGTAGGGAGAAATGGGGTTAGTCTCACTCGGGAAGCCAGAGGGCACAGCAGTCAGGCCAGACCAGGAACATGCAGAGAGTGCAAGGAACAGTTAAGTGTGCTGGGGACCCCAGGATGGGGAGTCACTTCAGACCTACTGTGCACCTACTGAATACACACTCCCAAGGCCTCATTGGCTTTGTCACTTGAGCCAGTGTTAGTACCTACACCCACAGCACTTTACACTTTAAAAACCTAGTCAGAAAGCCAACACGAGAAAGATTCCATCTGGAGAAAAGCAAATAGAACCTGCAGAATTCCAAAGGAGACTCAGGTCAGAGAAGAAAGTCCTAGGAGAATGGCAGAGAGAGAACCAGTGAGAAAGGGCGTGGCAGAGGGGACAGGAAAGGATGGGGAGCTGTCCAGGAAGGCCAAGGGCTACCAACCTGGGTCATCTTCTCACGGTTGGCCTTGGGGTTCAGGGGGGCCTCGGTGAGCAGGACGGGGTGCTCCTCGGGGGCCACACGCAGCTCGTTGTAGAAGGTGTGGTGCCAGATCTTCTCCATGTCGTCCCAGTTGGTGACGATGCCGTGCTCGATGGGGTACTTCAGGGTCAGGATGCCTCTCTTGCTCTGGGCCTCATCGCCCACGTAGGAGTCCTTCTGGCCCATGCCCACCATCACGCCCTGCAGAAGGGAGCGGCAAGGTGCCCTTAGCGAGGGCAAGATCCCCCCCGACTCGCACCCAGAAGGCTCAAGGACTCCCGTGGAGGAGCTGGCCCCATCCTCCGCCCCACCCACCAAATCAGACCCGAGGCTGGCGCCCTACCTGGTGCCTGGGGCGCCCCACGATGGAGGGGAAGACGGCCCTGGGGGCATCGTCCCCAGCGAAGCCGGCCTTGCACATGCCGGAGCCGTTGTCGACCACGAGCGCAGCAATATCGTCATCCATGGCGAGCTGCGGGGAGAGCGGGCCGTGAGCCGGAGTCGGGCGCGGCTGCCCCCGCCCTGCCCACTTCCGGCGCGCCGCGCCTTCGAGCCGCCAGGGGGCGCCGGCGCGCGCCCGGATTGGGGACAAAGGAAGCCGGGCCGGCCGCGTTATTACCATAAAAGGCAAACGCCGCGAGGCGGCCCGCGGCGCGGCAGGAAGCCAGGCGCTCGCCCCGCCCCGCCCCGTTCAAACCGCGCCGGCCGCCGGGCGCGCCGAGACCACACCCACGGGAGCCCGCGCCGCGGCCGAGTGCGCAGGCGCCTCCGCGCGCGGCAGCCCCACCCCTTCCGGCGGCCGCCGCTCGGCGGCGCCCGGCCAGGCGCCCAGCCCGGCGCGCGCACGCGCCCGAGCACGCGCAGCCCGTCCCCAGTGTCCGGTGCCCGGTGCCCGGCGCCCACCGGCCGGCGAGGCCCGCCGAGCCACTCCCCACCCTCCGTCCCTCCCTCCGTCCCGCGCAGCCACCGCCCGCTCGGCCCCGGGCCCCCCAGTCTGTCGGCGGCGCCCGGGAGCGCGGCCTGAGCGCAGCGCGGCCCGGCCCCCCGGCTCCGCGGCTCCGGGGCCGAGGTCCACTCCCCGCGCCGGGCGCCGCCGCGGGCAGGGCTGGGGCGCGGGCGGGGCGGCCGGCGGGGCGGCCGGAGGGCCTGCAGGGGCCGGGCTTACCGGAGGCGGCTGTCGGCGGCGGAGACGGCGGAGAGGAGCGCGGCGCGGCGGCGGACGGTCGGAGCGGTGGCTGCGCCGCGCGCCGCCGGGTTATATAGGGCGGCGCCGCGGCCGCTCGAGCCATAAAAGGCAACTTTCGGAACGGCGCGCGCTGATTGGCCGCGCGCCGCTCACTCACCGCCTCGCCGACGGTGCAGCATTTTTTCACCCTCGCCCTCCTCCCGGAAAAAAAAAAGGAGAGGACGGAGCGAGAGCGAGAGCGAGATTGAGGAAGAGGAGGGATAGAGTTCTGCCGGGCCGCCCTGGGGTGCGGGGCCGCGGCCGGGGTGCGGGGCGCGCCCTGGGGTGCGGGGCGGCCTCGGTGGCCTGGCCTGCCTGTTCCCCCTGTCCCCCTCCCCACCACCACCCCGGGACCCTCCGGGTGTGGGTGCCACCGCGCACTGAGCTCCCCGTGGCCCCTGGGTGCTGTGGGTGCATGCTCAGGTTTAAACAGTTGTGGGCAAAGGGGTGCTCCGGGAGGGCCCCCCTTGCCAATCTTAGTTCAACTGCCCAGAAAGCCTGGGTGGGGGTGGGGTGGGCTCTGGCTGGGGATGCTCAGCTCACTAAGTGTGGGGTCACTCTCCCCATCTCTATGGGGAGGAGGATGGGAGCCGGGGGCCTCTGGAGAGCAGAGAAACTGTTCCCATGGAGACAGCTGCCCTCACACCCAGCCAAGGCGTCCTGGGCCTGAGCCAGGCAGCTACCAGGCACTGCTGGGTCCAGCAGGCAGGGCTGCCCAGCACAGCCGGGGCCCGCGTCCATCATCCGTCCCGTAGCCACAGCCGAGCAGCCTTCGTGGGGGTCCCCGAGGCCTGGGCAGGGACACTCCGCCAGAGATGAGCTGGGGGCCGCAGGGCCAGCTGCCCCGGGAGAAGACCCTCTCCTTGTCGCCCTTGACTGCCCTGGGTCTCTCCAGACACTTGGCACGACCTGGGTGCCCTGTTCTGGGTGGTTCCCTGCGCCGAGAGCTGCCAGTTTGGCAGGCAGAGCCTGATCCAGGCGCCCCACAGTGCTCAGCGCGTGGCAGCCGGCAGCCAGGGGCCGTGGGACCCCACGCCTGGCCGCTCAGCCCAAAGGAGTGCACCTTCCTGGGGGCGCGGGGGGGGGGGGGGGGGTGGCAGGCGACTTTTCACCTGGAGGAGAAGGGGAGGCGCATTGCTGGGGCGGGGGCCGTCCCCAGCTGCAGGGCTGTGCAGCCTGGAAGAGGTGTTCGCTGTCTGTGTGTTGAAACCAGTGACCAGTTAGTCCATATATGGATGTGGAATGTGTGTCCAGGGGAGAGGTGGCTGGTCTGGCCCCGTGGAGGAGGTTGGTGGCAAGTCTTGGAAGGCTGCAGAGGCCACAGCCAGGAGGAAGGGTGACGGGCACCCAGCACAGCAGCGCCCACGGGCTCGGGCCTCCTCGGGCCAGCATTCCCAGGGGCCCCAGGAACTCATTGCAGGCCCCCACCCCGCCCAGCCCTGGATGAACGCTCCCACCCCACCCCCTCCTGCCTCCTGAGGGCCAGTCTGTCCTCCTCCCGGCCTTGTATCTCTCACCCAAGGGCGTCCGGCCAGCCACCTTGAGATTCAAGGACTGGTTGCAGGGGGGGGGGGGGTGGCACTTTTTGCTGCCTGTTGATGAGCCTGGAGGGGTGCTGGCAGGCTAGAACCAGGCCACAGGGCGAGGGAGGGGAGACCCCAGTGGCTTCCAGAGCTCCATGGGTGAGAGCAGGCCTGGTCCGCCGGCCAGGCTGCTACCTCCCTCCTAGCCAAGGGGTGGGAGCTCTGGGGCCACCGGACCGCAGACTGGAACATTCCCGGCCCCGGCTCCTGGTGCTCTCCTATGCATCCTGCACAGCCCAGCCCAGAAAGCCCCTCGGCTGGAGCCCTGTAACCTCTGCCACATGTACCCTCCCCCACATCAGACCACTGCGCAGGGCCGGCCTGCACAGCCGAGCTCCCCCAGCCCCTGCTGCATGTCCAGCCCGGCCTCAGCTCCCTCTGACCCGTACGGGGGGGGGGGGGGGGTTAGGGGGTCTCTTTCCCTTCTCAGCCTTCCCTTGGTTTCTCCCCTGAAATTGGAGCTTCGGTCCGTTCTCAGCCAGTCTTCCCAGGGTCTCCATCACCCCCTCCTCCTGCGGCCCCACCCCAGGCCCGGCTCTGCTGCAGGAATGGCCACCCAGTGCCCCCGGCCCTCAGGAGGGAGGGGCAGCAGCCCAGGCGAGGGGAGGAAGCGCCGGAGAGAAGCGGCAGCTGGAGGAGGAAAAGAGGAAGCCCAGCGGGGAGGAAGGGGGCGGGCGGCGCAGGAAGTGAGCAGGTTCTCCGCTGGGAACTTTGCCCTTGCGGGGATTGCAGCGGCGAGGGGCGGGCACAGCAGCCGCCCCACCTGCCTGTCTGCCCCCTCCCCCCCAGGCCAGGGACAGTCACAGCCCCGACCAAAGGACCACTCCCTCCCCCAACCACCGATCTCCCTGGGAGTTACATCCCTCTGCCTCAGCCCCCACCCCCCGCCAGGCAGGGACCCCACGCTCCCTTTTCAGAGGCAGAAACTGCGGTGGGGCTGAGAAAGGGAAGAGAAACACACACACACACACACACACACAGTCAGTGCTCAGCAAAGGGCAGCAGAGGGAATGAGGGGACAGAGTGTTCCAGCAAACACGCCCTTTTTGCAGAGGAGGAAACTGAGGCAGGCTGGTGCCGGGCCCAGGCTCAGAGTCCAGCCTCACGGACTCCAGGCCCGGCTTCCAGAGGCCGCCTGCCCCGCCCTGGTGAAGTGTCCGCGCAGGGACTCTGGCCGGAGTCTGAATTCCTGGGCCCCACCTCTGTCCTGGGCTCCGGCTTATCTCCCAAGGTCCAGGGGGGACAGCACCAGGCCCTGGCCGCACAGCAGCAGGCCCGAGGGCCTGAGCCTGCATTTCCAGACACACACACACACACACACACACGTGTGCGCACACACAAACGCGTGCACACACGTGCACACACACATGCACATACACACACGTGCTCCTCCCCTGCTCCCACGATGGGCTCAGAAGGAAATGTTGGACCCGGAGCTCCTGAGGTCCTGGGGGCTGGGGGGCTGGGGGCTGGGGGGCTGGGGGGCTGGGGGCTGGGCTGGAGTCCTGCGGCTCCTGTCCAGCTTGACCGCACTTTCAAGGTCAGCCCTGGGCCGGCTCCCCAGAAAGCCTGCCTGCCTCCCCCGCCGCCCTCAGAGCAGCTGCAGCTCTCCTGCCCAGAGAGGGCGGCCGCCCAGCCAGGCCACACAGCCGGGCACAGCCCGGCACAGTCAGGAGCCGGGCCCCGGGCCAGACTGCTCCTGCAGGCCACAGGCAGCGGATGGCACCGCACAGGGGTGAGCAGCACCCTGAGTGCAGCAGGTGTGCCCCTGGGCCTCAAACAGGCCAGCGGGGAGACCGGGCCCCCTGGTGTGAGAGCAAGTGCCCTGAGGAAGGAGGAGGAGGAGGGCGGACAGGGAAGCCCCCAGGCAGGCAGGCCCAGAGCAGGAGGGAGGGACCGGCCAGTGTGCTCCACTGGGCGCCAGCCAGGACCTCGGTCCCCACCCAGGCCTGGCGTCCAGCCAGAGTCCCTCCCAGGCCGTCAGCCTTCGCCAGCCCGGCCTCCCTGCCTCCCTCCCGCAGGAGTCCCCCAAGAAAGGGGGGGTCCCTGCCCTGGAGAGGCTGGGGACTTCTGACGCTTCTTGGGAGAGTTTTGAAAAATCCTTAAAAACTCCCCCCCCTCCCCAATTCCGATCCCCTGGGTGCTGGGAGGAGGGCCGGGCACCCGGGGAGTTCCCAGCCTCGCTCACTGGGGTTTTTCAGAAGAGAAATGGAGAACCAAGTACCTGGGCTTCCCCCTACACACCCGAGCCTTCCTTCCCCCTGGCCTCCTGCGGGGGCTCCGTGTCCCCCAGACCCAGCCGGGAGGAAGGAGAGGACCCCTTGGGCCTGAAGCTCCTCTCAGCAGCCTGGGGGGGGGGTGGGCTGGGAGTCCCAGGTCTCCCCAAAGCCCCCAGGAGGCCACGGCAGCTCCCAGAAGCCAGGCTTTCCGCCCAGGCCTGAGGCGGGGGACAGGGCCGACCAAGCGGGGTGGGGTCAGTGGCAACTTCAAGTCAACCCAAGGTTCTGGAGACTCCTGGCCTGACCGCCGGCATCAGCAGACACACCTGCGGGACTCCCCACACCGAGGCCTGCCGCGAGCCTGCGCCCAGGGCGTGAGGAAGGGGAGCCATGCCCTCCCCCCCCCCCCGCGGCCTGGGCGCCATCAGCGGCCCGGGGT